CTAAATTAGCTTGAAAAAATATCCAGAATCAAATCTATAAAAATGAACTAATTATATCCATTATTAGTTTTGTTTTTTTTTTTTTAAATAATTATCGTGCAGTGAACCCCTCCCCAATAATGGTTCGAAAGAAAATCATATCCTCCACTCCACCCCGACCCCAATGATATTGTCCTTCGATAAGAAAACAAACTGAACTCCTATTTATTTTGCTCTGCCATCAGTAAGGATGTTTAAAAATCGTGAAAATTAGGATATAAAATTTAATGTTTCGATTTGATAGCTCTTCACATGAAAAAAGGAGAAGTAAACATACAGTCCAATGAAGTCAGCTTGAAATTCTTTCACTGTCCAGAGACCTGTTCAGAGATTAGACATGTACTTATACTAGACATGTACCAGCAAAATTTTAATGCTCTGAATTTGTTGGCGCGATAATAATTCACATTTGGTTAGCCTGTCTTGACGTCGTTGGTTATGATATAATAATGTCATTGCACAGACCCCAAAAACAACAGATGTAAAATGGGCAGAGTGGACTTATATTTAATTTTAATTTATGCAAAGAAGCAATGTCAACAGACGGTAGCCAGTTTTATTTCTATTGGTTCGTTTTCGTTAATGGACAATGCCATATCTGGTTGATTAGTTCTTAATTAAAATCAACACATTAGGCTAGGGCATCTAGCTAAATTAAGCACTTATAAATGCCGTTGAAAATGCATTGTCTCCATGCTATACCATTTTCCCAGTATATCATATCTTTAAAGAAAAGTATCCGCACCTTTCTTCATGTAATATGTTCTCAAATAATGTCAAGAAACAATAGATAAAAAATGACTCCCGAAAACTAGATCATGGACAATGATTGGTATCAACTTAAACAAATCTATGCGATATGTTTCTGAAGAAATCAAGTGGCCATACTTTTTTCGCCCTGTCTGACCAGGATTTCACCGATACTTTTAATTATAGGTCTAGATTCCAACAGTTCACCAACATATTTTAAACTTTGAATCTAAGATGAAGAAATTTCATATGTCCAGCTTACGTACGTCTCAAAGTTCATCCTGTCTCATGGCTGAAATCAGGACTTGATCAGGTCCAATGTTGGGGGTAGGGAAGGTGGCTCTAAAATTCAAAATTGCTTTCCTTCAAAGGGCACCAAGCAAACCTCTGAGTTCGTTTACTCAAAGTGTGCACAATACATAACAAACATACGCAAGAATAATACAATGGTTAAATTTGAAGTGAAAAATAACTTTACGTGTGTGTGTGTGTGTGTGTGTGTGTGTGTGTGTGTGAATGAATGAAAGTTTAGTCTGAGCTGACATAAAAAGTTCAGTTTGTTACATTATGAGCCATAAGTTACCTCCCAATTTACTCCTCACAGTATCGTATGCTTGCTGTACGTGAAGTCAAATAATTAAATGTATATTCCTTCTGGCCAATAAGTATTGATGGAGCGTTGGACGTTATAGCTTATTCCAAAATACAATCATATGTGTTTGGTTTCTATCTTTCAAGAAATACTGGTCTGCGCAGAAATCGTTCGATACCAACTCCGTTGGTTATTCTATTTAACTTTGCTATGCTCAATCCTTGACTTTTCATTTTGACAGTCTGTCACAATATTAATAGTTAATACTTTTGGTTGGTTTTAAAGACACTTATATTTTAAATACTGTCTTGGATATTTCATGTCTAGTATATAGGAGCTAAATGCCTTTAAAAATGTAATACGACTACTTTTATATTTTCACTAGATTAGCCCAAAATTTTCTACTGATTTGTTTTTTTGTTTTTTTTTTTTTTTCATTTTTAATTTCTTTAAAAACTAATTGCTGAAATACCAAAGTTGTTAAAGGGAAATTATATGTACTCCTCGTCGCGTTATAATGACGATGACGAGAAGGGCTACTACTCTAACGATCTTTGTTTGTATACGGACACTTTTAGGAATACTATTTTTATTATCGTCTCCAGATAACAACTGTGTTTGGAACTGGCACCATCAAAGTGACTTTATTCGAGTATTGGAATCCAACTGCCCTCAAGTACGACGGCGCGTGTTGTGACGGGGCCATCCCCGGATGTCCCTTGGACCAATGTGACCATCACTTTGACATCTGTTTAAGCGACAATACGAGGTAAAAAAAAAAAAAAAAAAGAATCAGCCGAATATACCTTATTACGATATGCTCAATTTTTTTCTCTGTTAACGTTACATTGTCAGAAACGTGCAGTATTTTATATAGTAATGATAACGATGTTTACGAGTTCACTGTGTCACAAATTAAACTTTCAAACAAGCAATCGAATGTACGTGATATTCGCAATGTCCGCAAGCAATCGAATGAACGTGATAGTCGCAATGTTCGCAATATCCACGGCGAACACAACACAAGAGACGCAGAAACTGAAATTACTATTTTGATCATTTAAAGTGTTTACTTACTTTTCTTACTCACCGACAGAACAGAAACACGTGCAGTTGATTTAGTTATTCAAATTATATGTACATAGAACGGAATTGCCCCCAATACATTCAGTTTAATGCAAGTAGAAAAGCAGAATTGAATTGAATTGATAGAAAAACAAATCCATCTATTCCAGACCAAATGGAAAGGTGTTTCAATGCGCATTCATTCACAATATTACTCTAAATTTTAATTTAATTTTAAATTGGATAAAATGAGATTTTTTTTAAATTAATGAGGAGCACTGGACCGAGCTCAAAGGTCTCTGGACGGTGCCATGTGCGCATTAATATTGCATTGATGAATCTACGGTTGTGGATTTTTTTGGAAAACAACATAAATTCCCAAATTATTTTGTTTCTTGTAATGTGTTATGTTTCCTCTTAAGCTTAAGGTGCAAAAAAACGAAATGAATACATAATAAAAAGGTTACTTAAAGTAGGACAGTGGGGATCTGATTTTAATAACATATTGTCATCAGAACAAGTTTAGAGTCAGAATATATAGTGTATTTTTTACATTTAAGTTGCATTTTAATCATATTCACGTTAATATTGTATTTGTTCATCAACATACGTATAAAGTTTGAGAAATTTTATATTTAGACATGATATATCATGTGGTTGCATCGCAGTATAATTTACTTCCTTGGGTAATCATATCGTTTTGACCTTTTTGTACAAATATGTTTTTTCTAATTAAACAGATAGGAACTGTAAAACTCGTGCAAATGACATTTTATGTTGTATCAAATATTTAATGGCTGAAAGTGTATCGTAATCGGACAGGCATGTTCGAACAAGCATATTATTAAGGGGGGGGGCAGAAGGTCATATCTAAATGTTAGGTTGTCCATTGCATTTATTTCTTTGTTATATTTTCGCACGTTAGAAAAAAAAATAAGTTACAAACTACATACACACAGTCATTCTATGTACTTTTGTCATTCAAAACTCATTACCAAGTTTAACATTTTGAGACCTACGCGGTATTGTATTGATAACAAATAAACTTAATTAACGAGTTGACCAATGTGTCAGGGCTGAATGTTATGCATGGCATAATTATATTATTTCAATAGTTTCCTATATTTTATAGCAAGTCATTATGTGCTACTGACCCGTTTATCACTTAACTTGACTCGACATGCACTGATAAGAGTTGTTGATGGGGTACGATACCATATTGTATGCCACAATATTTATGATGTCATGTTATGATATTATAGCCCACAATCTACGTGATTAAGTACTTTGCACCACAAACTGCTCTTTAACATGCACGCCCACTTCTAACCATTTAGGTGGGAGATATTAGCGGGAACCAGTCCAAATTTATAGAGCCATCTAATCAGTGGTAATAAAATGATATAAGCCAACGAGGAATGAGTTTACTTTTTCTTCTTCAATCAAATCAAGATTAGCGCTGACCAGAAATAAATTCAAAGAAAAACATATTGGACTGTTAAAAATATGAATTGTTTTACAAATGGTATCAGTGCCGGATTAAACTCTGTGGAGACCCCCCTCATAAATTCTCTTCTTTATACGTTTTGAATTTTACCAATCCTAAAAGGCTTGGGGCCCATAGGCCGATGCTTACTCTGCCTGTTTGGTAATCCGGCACTGAATAGTATGAACTTCAACCTGCTAAAATCTCACACGCCACGTAACAATTGTCCTGATCCGCATATGTCAGCGGCGAACCCAGCACACATCACCCTGCCCCTTAGCTTGCAAAGGCTTCGCACTATGGGCACCCATTGCGGGTTTTGTTCCACAGACTATTCGCCTATTTGATTTATGCTTGCAGTCCTCCCTTCTCCGCCGCGAGAACTATATTTCCGGATCCGCCCCTGTGGGTGGTTATGGCACTTATGTTATGCAGACCCCCTCCAATCCATCCCCCTAATAAAACAACACAAAACAAAACAACAACAACAACAACAAACAAAACAACAACATCCCAACGATTGATTCAATGAAAACTGTGCATACAAAAGGGTGAAGTTGGCCTTGCGTAGTTATAACTTATTTTCTTAACCCCATGAGTCAAAGCCACCTTGACAAAAAAAAACCAGGTCTATCTCGTTAAGAAAGTCAATGTATGATATACAGCGATTGAAAGATATATTTTGAGTAATTGCATCATATATATATGGATTGTTTTGTTGTCTTACAGATTATGTCAATAAGTTCACACGTCGCAGATGATTATAACACTAATTACATGAAATTAATTTATATTGTGTCACCTTCGATTTTCGTATATTTCTTTGTAAAACTTTTCTAAAAGTTGAGATTTTAAGTTGAATACCTTTCGTGGCTTTATACGTTTTCTAGCTTTAAGTTAACTGAACTGCACTTCGCACACACATTAATATTTTCATTTGAATTACAATTATATTGCGCCCCAGAGAGAGATGATATTTATGTCTGACGCTATTTATGTCTTCGGTGGGAGCTTAGTTCTTGGAAATATTTTGGTCTCTACGAAAATAAGCAACTATCAATCGGAACCGCTCCTGTCGCTTATTGGTTAGAGCTTCCGCCTCAAATGCAGGAGGTCGTTGGTTCGATCCCCGGCTGAGTCATACTAAAGACTTACAAAAATGGTACTGTAGTATCTTCTCCACCAAATTGATGTAGGGTGTCAAACTGTATGTAGTTGTCATGTGTGGGTGGGTGGCAGCTGCTTTGAAGAATTAGCTGGTAGAGCAAACAAAACAAATGTATAGGCTACAAATTTCTTAAATGGTTGCTCTTCACTGTCTCCAATATTCCCGCCACCTTCAAATTCAAAAACTCAGTATATATCTTAGTCCTATCGGACTTCACAGGAGATACTGATATCTTATTTCTATAACTGGCTTGATTATTTCTGAAACACATAATCTGTGTTTCTAACATTAAACTAAACATGTCATATCTCACTAATGAGTTGTCCAGAAATTGATTTGAAAACATAAATAATTATAATATATCTGATCAGACTCGCACTCACTTTCAAATTCTCATTCAAAATATAAATCTTAAATAAATGAAGTTTATATGTAAGTGTTGACAGAGAGTGTCAGAATTCAAGTATTAAATATCTATATCCTTCAAAACAGTATACAAATTAGTCTTGCTAGTTAGAGAAACTTAATTTACTATCTTGTCTCTAATATCATCAACATTTTCAAAATATAAAACCAATCTTGATAAATGGTGGGTGGGTTGGTGGGTGATTTGGATTTTTAACGTAGCTTTAACAATATTTCAGTCATGTTGCTACAGTGTGCTACAGTGTTAGTGTATAGTGATGTCTAGTACTGTGGCATCATGCTGCCGAGCATGATGTCCCACCCAGTGACATTATCCTGACAACAACTGACAACAAACCAGTCTTGTAAATAATCATTTAATTAATTTGCATAAACACAACCATCTGCCTTCTCACTACCTAGACCATGGAGCTAGACTGTTAAACCAAATGATTAATGTCCCTAACGCCATGGGGTGAGCTTGCTGTAAAGATTCTACTTGTATTGTTTTTAGACTGCAGAAGCGTAACATTTTTTGAAAAGTGGATTCTATGCAATATGGCTATGTACAAGACCAGAAAATTGGAAAACAGTTGAATCATATAAAATGTCCCTACTACAGTACTAACAGATACCTCGCAAGGCGCTCAGCATTAAAAGATTAGTGTTAGGACTGGTAGGCCTGGTGTCAAAATAATGTCACTGGGTGGGACATCATGCTCGGCAGCATGATGCCACAGTGCTAGACATCACTATACACTGCCACACTGTAGCAACATGACTGAAATATTGTTAAAGCTACGTTAAAAATCCAAATTACCCACCAACCCACCCACCATTTATCAATCGAAAGGGACCTTTGGCAATATTAAGTGCAGGGTGTGGGTGTGGTGAGGTGCAGAACTCCTCAGCAAACGAGTTTTTAATAGGTAGTGGTAAACAGAATTAAGTCTTGTGAAGGGGAGAGGGGAAGAATTTCTTGCTACGCCAATTCATCTTACCATGTCAACTGTACTAGTGTATTCATTTCAAAACAGCAAGAAAAATTTGGTAATCTCTCTCTCTCTCTCTCTCTCTCTCTCTCTCTCTCTCTCTCTCTCTCTCTCTCTCTCTCTCTCTCTCTCTCTCTCTCTCTCTCTCTCTCTCTCTCTCTCTCTCTCTCTCTCAGATGGCACACGTCATGTAATTAGAACTTAAAATGTTTGGTAATGTTTCTAACCGCTGCATTCCATTTTGGGCCATGAATGTTCTAACTAGCAAGTGGACGTATTTAATTAATATCCAAAAGATAATGTGATATGTTTCAAGAAATAAAAATAAATAAATATATATCAGAATTGACATTTTAATTTGATCGTAATTCAGTACAAGTTTAATTAAGTAATATTGTTCTTTCTTCACGAAAATGACTGTTTATGTGTACGTGACCATTGTACATTCGATAAGTTTTTGGTTGTATACTATATTCCCCAGTAAATGGTCATGAGCCATATACATGTTAATTTACAAATTACATATTAGGGTAAAAGCTAATATGACATGCCTACGTAACTGGGAGAAGCGGAAACTAATTGAGTATTATCCCTATACCTAACATTATAAATAAAGTGAAAACACGAATGCGCAGTTACAATACGTTTCTACTGGTAACTTGACATTTCGATTTCATAAACTCCTTACATAATCATTACACTAGTCCGCCACGTAATCACTACACAAATAAAATGTTAGACACTCAGTAATTGGATATTCTCATCCCTTGGCAATAATAATATTGACAAAAGTTAGGAGAGAAAAAAAAAACGTAATGCATTTGCCATGATTTCCATCTTGCTAATTCAAGACGCGTATAAAACTCACGTCAAATCAGTAAACCAAGTTGAGAGTCGTTAGCATGTATATAAAAGCATAAAATCTGGTAAGATATGGTGCTACAGATAATAATAATAATAATAATAATAATAATAATAATAATAATAATAATAATAATAATAATAATAATAATAATTATTAATAATATTATTATTAATAATTATTGTAATTATTATTATTATTATTATTATTATTATTATTATTATTATTATTATTATTATTATTAAACATAACGCGACAAATATATCAATTATACAGATAAATAAATTATATTTTTATTTAATAAAGTTGGAGCAAGGAATAGAATTTGTTCTATCAAAAAGATCTGGGATGGGAACGAACTGGTGGTAAGATTATAATAGCATCAAAAGCTGGACCAGTAAATAAATCGATTATTGTTTTCCAACCAAAACTTAATTATCGTATTCGGACCTTTGTAAAAAAAAAAAAAAAAAAGCTGGATGAGTAAATAAATCGATTATTGTTTTCCAACCAAAAGTTAATTATCGTAATCGGACCTTTGTAAAAAAAAAAAAAAAGCTGGACGAGTAAATAAATCGATTTTTGTTTTCCAACCAAAACTTAATTATCGTATTCGAACCTTTGAAAAAAAAAAAAAAAAAAAAAGCTGGACGAGTAAGAAAAAAAAACGATTATTGTTTTCCAACCAAAACTTAATTATCGTATTCGGACCTTTGTAAAAAAAAAAAAAAGCTGGACGAGTAAATAAATCGATTATTGTTTTCCAACCAAAACTTAATTATCATATTCGGCTCTTTGTAAAAAAAAAAAAAAGCTGGACGAGTAAATAAATCGATTATTGTTTTCCAACCAAAACTTAATTATCGTATTCGGCCCTTTATAGAACAAAACTGTTTAATCAATACTGTATTCAGCCAAATCCAGACTTCATATACTTGATCTTTTATATGGTTGTACATAAATTTGATGAACAGATTTTATTACAAAGTTTTTTTTTAAATAGTGAAGTTTTCATATATATTGCCGAAGTCTCGTTTACTTGTAATTAAAAATATAAATAGTATTAGTAAGAGTCTTAGTTTTCAATGGATAATCCAATTATACATTTTCTGTATATCTTCAGTGAGGATAAGACTCTTAAGCAAACAAATATTTGCTGTCTATGTATTTTATATATCCTCTTGTAATGGGTAGGGCACTGCAAATGTCTTTCAGATGTCTTATCGGTAATAAATTTTATTTACATCAATCCTTGAGAAATGCTTATGAAAATAAAATCTGAGTGACGTGAAATTTAAACTCCATATTGATACTGATAGGAACATTTATCTTGTCTATCGATAGTGCATCACATGTGGGTAGTCGACAAAATTAAAATTTTCTGGCGGTATTCCAGAAAATTTACATTTTGGATCTTTAACATTGGAGTACAACAATAAATCTCCCCGCCAATTTTGTTTGTCTTGAAAGATTTTAGTTGCCAATATGAATACTGAGAGAAATATAAATGTAGAACTGTATGTGTTTGCCCTCTTCTGTCACATAATGCGCCCATAAAGTCTGGGTACATAATTTTATGACGTTCATATACATTAAGGTGTCTATAATTGTAGAATTGTTTATGCATTTTGCAGTACTCAAACAAACAAGAACATTTTTCATGGCCAGTTAAATAACAACGAGAAAAAAGATAGAAAAATGACCAGAAAAGCAATAAAACTCAAAATTTACGATTTTCTTTTAAAATATTTTTCTATATATATACACCAATGTGGAATTTAATTTTAAGAATAAAAAAACAAGCATTTGATTATGAGATAGTGTTTATGTCTGCTAGCCTGATATGAACAAATACTTTAAGCAGTTATTAAATAGTTTTTCTCTTTTCTGTCGCCTTTTTATTGATTATCCATTTTGGCTGCCTATACTCTTTTGATATATGTATTAAAAATGTATGTGAATAACAAAGCTGATATAAACTAAAATATAATTAAGAACAATCTCACTAAAACACACACACACACACATACACACTTTGTTTTATGATTCTTAATTACTCTTTGACAATAGCAGTTTATAATGCACATGCTGCACATACTGCCCAATTCGTTGTTACGTATATATAATTTAATTACTTATGTGCTAGTTTAAAATTTTTGCTTTATTTTTATTTCATTATATGTTATTGAAATGATAACTTTATTCACTGAATTCGACATTTTTCCTGAAAATTCAGTTCAGTTCTGTTTTTACCTAGTATATACCAGTATTGCTACACTGTATTTTTAGATGACCTAGTTCCTGACCTATTTTCAGAATTGGTAAACAAAATTTTTTTATTTCTTTCCTAGAGTGAAAATGATTGGTCGTAATCAAAATTATACTTTGCTTGCGTGTCAATTCAATTTTAATTTCAATCTTATAGATTTGTTTAGCAGAATCAAGTTCATCTATGGCGCACGTGACAGTCGGCCTGTGCTGTTACTGCACCATTCAGATTAAGCGACCACGTGACCCCATCACGTGATATAAAATTGCGCTTAAATCTAACGGTTTTTAATGATTTAATTCAGTCATAATTCATACCGTTGGATCTCGAAGGTATTTTTTTTTGTTGCCAATTGATGTTTTTTTTTCTTTTATTTTTCGGAATTGATAATTAATTTCTCTGGAAAACATATATATAAGTGCTCATCAGACTTCTTGGACAAAGA